ATTTCAGATATTCAATAAAGATCATTTTAAAAAAGAAAAGAAATAGGAAGCAAACAGAAAGTAACTTTTTCTCAGTTCCTGCTTGTTTTTTTTTCTTTAAAGAATAAAGGCCTACCCTTGACCTATAATGAACCAGGAAGTCCCCAAAACATGATGAAAATGCCCTGGAGCAGGTGGTCCTCTAAGATCTCCTGCCGCTAGTGCAGCCCTCTACCCTTCTAAGTTGGCCATGCATGCTGTAAAGAATAAAAGGAATTTCATATTTACAGCCTGTATAACTCAATAGATTGCAAGACAACAGCTCATCACACACAGAGACACAGGAGAAAAATAAATATTGGGTGGCAAGCTTTCAGTGAAAGTATTTTTGTGTGTGTATGTGCATACAGGCTCCTGCTTTTTTGCTTGTGTGGTTGATTTTATAACCTTGGCGTAACGATCTTAAAGCATTGTTTGGGTCTGAATTATGGACAAAGCCCCTTTTATGGTAAACACATCCCTGCCACGTGTGTAGCTGGCCAAAGATCTGAATTCCCAAGGAGGCACGAGGAAGGGTCTGGCTCCTGCCCTGTCGAATGTATGTCCAACTTCACAATTTTATTCAAGAAGCTGCAGTCTGTTTAAAGCAAAAATGAGACAGAGGAAGATACGTGTGGAAACTATGGTGCTGTTGCTGTGCCAATTCCAGAATTGATCTCTGCCTTGTGGTTGTAGGTGTATTAGGGAGCGCAAGCAATGACACCCAGCATGCTGTGCTTTCTTATGCAGACCTCTATATTTAGGAAGTGGGCAGAAAGTGGGTGTTTCTACTCATCACAACTGGGAAGATGAACAAAGGCAGAACAGGGTAGGCGACCAGGGCAAGGAGAAAAAAGACAACTAGAGATGAGATCATTCTGGGGGAAAGTAAAACAAAATGTCTCCCAAGGCTTTTTCTTCTTATCTATATTAAACTATCATAATAGCTTACTATCATAATAGCTGTAGTATATGCAGTAGCCCCTCCACATACACAGATTCTGTGTCGACAGCTTGAATTAATATACATAGATAGATGTGTGTGTGAATCATAGAGTCATAGAGTTGGAAGAGACTTTGTGGGCCATCCAGTCCAACCCCATGCCAAGAAGCAGGAAAATCGCATTCAAAGCACGCCCAACAGATGGTCTTCCAACCTCCGCTTAAAAGCCTTCAAAGAAGGAGCCTCCACCACACTCTGGCGGAACAGTTCTCACATACACACTTACATATGCATACACATGCAGAGAGAAAATAAAATGCAATTCTTGATTTTGCTATTTTATATACCTTTTTATAACACCACTAGCTGTCCCCTGCCACACGTTGCTGTGGCCCAGTCTGTTGATCTGGAAAATAAAATAATGAGAAAGTGTTAGTTTCTAATATATGTAATTTCTTTATGCTTGTGGGTAAACAGTATTTCTTGCTGTTTCTTTGTCAGTGTTGATGTGGAGATATCTGGTTTGCCCACCCTGGAACATGCAACATATCATTGTCCTTCTTTAAGGGTCCCTTTCAAATCTATGATACTATATCTCTCTGTCCGTGTGAATCATATCTATCTATCTATCTATCTATCTATCTATCTATCTATCTATCTATCTATCTATCTATCTATCTATCTATCTATATCTATAGCTGGATGGCTCTTTGTCAGGAGGACTTTGATTACGTTTTCTTGCCCTGATGAAGGGAGTTGGATTGGCTGGCCTTAAGTATGTTTTGTTGGTCATGGGGGTTCTGTGTGGGAAGTTTGGCCCAATTCTATCATTGGTGGGTTCAGAATGCTCTTTGATTGTAGGTGAACTATAAATCCCAGCAACTACAACTCCCAAATGACAAAATCATAATTTTTTGAGTGATGATCACTCCTTGTGTTGTGAGACGTTTTGTTGCCAAATTTGGTGTGATTTCGTTCATTGGTTCTTTTGTTTTTAAGGTACTCATTATGCACAGAGCATATATAGATAGATGGATGGATGGATGGATGGATGGATGGATGGATAGATAGATAGATAGATAGATAGATAGATAGATAGATAGATAGAGATATAGATGGTATATAATGAGGCTTGAACATTTATTTTCCCCAGAACCAAACCCATTGATTGCCAAGGGCCTGCTGTACTTTTCAAACTTAAATTATAGACCCAGCCTAATAGTTAAAGTGCCACTAATTCATAGATTTTTGGTATTAAGTATATTGCTTTTAATTATTCTATATGTAGTGCTTTCCCTTCTGTTGAACTGAACAGGAAGCTATGGCAAAATAATTCTATACACTGTAAAAGAAATTAGAAAGCAGGTGAAAACATGCACTCTGGTTAATCAATCTGTGAATTTGTTCCATTTTATTTCTGGGAATTCATGAAATAAGAGTGTTCTTAGTGGGTTAGAATTAAGGTACTCATTGTAATTTCACTTATCTGTATTCCTTAATTAGTGAGATTTTTACGAGAAGAGCAGTGCCATCTTGTGGACAAAAAAGATATACTGGACCCCTGGAACAAATTAACAAATTTGATTTTGTTCTTTTGTTTGCTCATTTTTACAATATTCTTCTTGTATTCTAAAAGTATTCAATTTCTTCATAGGTTACAAGATTTGTATGGGCATTTAGACTCAGAGAAGGTAAGCAATTATTATGTGTGTTCAGTACTATTCTTCTGCAAAGGAAGCTTTAAGAAAGGAAACTCACAACAGAGTTCTCTTGTAAGAGAGGCTTTCTTTTGGCCTGAGAGAGTTCATTTTATAAGATTTGTTTGATTCAATATTAGATTTTAATTCTCCCTGGCATGAACCAGCCTTTACCTCAACATGGAAGTTAAGCAATTCGATTTTCCAACTTTAATTGTAAAACTAGGAATTGAAATAGATAAAAATATGCTTTTTTTTCTTTTTCTGCTCTAGTTAGGAAGATAAAACATCAGCATATATTAGCTTTCATCCCCAGTGCTTGTCTTTACTCTTTGTGCCACCTTTGCTGGACCAGGGAAAGAAAATCTGTGTACTTAATTGTTACACAAAACAGATTGGACATTTGTAGTACATAATTCACAGAGAACAAGTCCTTCAGTATAGATGCCATGCTACGTTTTCTTGTGACCTTCACTTATCTGCTCTGTGCAAGCTTTTTACAAGTAGACCAAACAACAAATCATAGAAAAAATGTCCCGAATAATCAATTGGATATGTGTTGGTCACTTTATTTTTGCAAAAATGTCTAGTAGCCAGTCCTATCAAACATATATGTGAACATATATTGTCTAACTCTGGGTATTTGTGTATTATGGAATATCCTTGATTCTGCACTCACAAATATTCTTGTGGATATGGGTTGCTCTTACACTCTGCACTATATCATTGCTCTTATTGAGGACAGAGCAATGCACTTTAGACATGAAGGACTTTTAGAAGAAAATCTCTGTGTGTGGGGTAAATGTAGAAAGTTGGACAGTGGACTGGTGCTTGATGTAGTTGACTGAAATAATTAATCAAGTGGGGAAATGAAGAGCAGTCCTCCTGCCCTCTGCTTATCTTTCTGTACCAATTTTGACTGGGCAACTTAGGAGGTGAAAAATATACTTGTTGTCGTTGTTTTATAGATGTATTTGGGGGCTTGGTCTCTTGTAAGCTGCACTGAATCCTGCGGGAGATGGTAGCGGGGTATAAATAAAGGATTATTATTATTATTATTATTATTATTATTATTATTATTATTATTATTATTATTACATTAATCATTTTACTCTATTATTATTAGAAGGATATGTAAACACGTTTACACTTTATTGATCATATGCATGGCAAATCTTTTCTCTGTGTGGACTGGTAAAATATGAACGACACTTGATTTTCATTCTCCCACAAAAATGATCAAAAAGGAAGAAGTAGCACTTCTTCCCAGACAACAAAAATAAAAGTGACTTGTATTCCACTGTCAAGCTAATTCAGAGTTGGTTTGAGTGGGGTCTCAGCCCTGCATTTGAAGCCCAAAACAACCATGGGAAGAGATGTGTGACGCGTCGGCACGAGGGAATAAAAAACTACACGAGCGACAGAACCGTCCAGAAACAGTTCCAACTCCCACTCCTACCTTCAACAAGAACAGCAGAGTGGATTAAACCATTGGGCCTGGCCCCCATGCTGGCAATTCAATCACATGGGATTGGACGACTCATTTCCGCTCCCCTTTTTAGTCCAGGGATTGTAAACAAGATCACTGCTTTGTGGCAATGCTGAAAGGCATTCTTTCTGGTCCCAACTTAAGGGGTTGGTTTTAACTTTTAAAATCCTAACTGGCTTGTGATATGACTTACAGAATCATAGAATACCGTATTAGAGTTGGAAGAGACCATATGGGCCATCTGGTCCAAACATGCAGGAAAAGCACAATTTTAAATTGTAAGTTGCTCGGAGCACCTTGGTGGAAAGCGACTAATTAAGAAATAAAGTGATGATGATGATGATATTATGCCCTACAGATGCTCATTCAGCCTCTGTTTAAAAGCCTCCAAGGAAGGAGCTGTTTGTCTTCAGGAAAGGCTCCCTTTCCTGAAGGGGGAAAGCCCCGAGAGAAAGGGTTTTCTCCTGTGTCATTTTTGGTCTGTAAAACGCATTCTCCTCAAATGTGTGTGTAATGTGTGAGAACAAAAACACAACTTCTTTTTTTACTTTTCATTGTATATTGTAGACTTTTTTGGAGGATGAAAAATGTATGAAATTTATTTTGTACAAAATCATTTTTATTCTGCAGAATTTTTGCAGAGAAGTTTCTAAATGTGATAAGCCTTTGAAAAATGCACAGACCACTTGTAATCTTGCTTGGAGGAGAGGGGGAAATTATTTGCATTACTGAGAATAAAATAACCTCAGACTTGCTCTCCTCTCTCTTCCTGCTCTGTTCTGTTTTAAAGAAAATGTGTGCCTAAATAATTTCTGTTCCAATATTTTTAACTATTTCACTTTATTTCACTTTCAGAAACAAACCGCTTACAGGACTCTAGACACCTGAAGAACTGTTTCACAATGGACATAGATGATGAAGAGAACATGAGTAAGATGTGTATATTATGTGGTGCTAAAAATAATTTCCATTGCTTCAGAGTATCAGTGCCTAGCCCAATAATCATTTACTTCATGCCAGAGTAAAATCATTAGTGTTTCCTTGCTTTTGTTGTTTAAAATGTGATATCTTAAAACAGTATGAAAATGTTTTAAAAGTTAAACCTGTTTTAGTACTTTACATAGGTACCTGGGGATTAATGCTTATTTCTAGATAGTCATCCATAGGATTGCAATATTTGCTTTGTTTACAGTTCTGTGATTTAATATTTATAGTTGTGATTTTACAAATTTTCTTCAACCCTGCTGCCATTGGTTTTCTTCTTGCTCTCTTATTTATCTTTTTTAATTTCAAGTAAATACTGGTTGTAGAATCTTTTAATCTGAGTCTAATTTATGATCATGAAGTGGAATTTCGTACAATATGACCCCAAGGATAGGTTCCAAGACCTTCCTATAAATCCCAGAAGCTATAGATAATAGTGAACCTTGTGTTTTGAGTGTACTTGAGCCAGAAACAAACCATAAAACTGTTCTGGAGAACGTAGAAACCCGCCACTCACTTCTAGGGGAGTGTGTTTTGGTTTTGGAACAAGAATAAGCGAAAAAATGGAGAAGGGGGCCATAATGTACTACTATTCTTTTAGTGGGATTTGGCTGGTCTCACCAAACTTTGAACTGAATAGTTGTCATTTTACCACAGTTGTTACCATTCTATTTATTTTAACTTTTATTCTGTTCATTTTAATTACTTGCAGTACCAAGGTGGTGTTTATAAACACTAACTGCATGTAAAGAAAGCGAAAGGGAACCCATTCCATTAGAATATGTGAGCTCCTAGGATGCACATATTATGTTGGGGCCATGCTGACAGTTTCTTGAAATTGTTCTTGTGCTATAATAAACATTACACCAAAGCAGGACCAAAAGGCAGATAACAGTGGCTAACACACATTTTGGTGCTTCAAACATTAGCCCTGTTTCTGGATATATTTGAGCAGCTGATTCCAAAAGAGGTGCTAGTTTCCCCTTATCAGCTTTAGTTTTTGAGAACAGAACATATGCCATAGTTCACCCATTAAAATGCCATAGTTCACCCATTAAAAAAAATCTGATAACCATATCTAAGAAACTAGAGTTAATGTGGTCTGCCCAATGTAATTTTCAGAATCAGTGCCCCAAATAACTCCTGGAACAGTCCCTATAAATCAAAATACTAAGGAGACAAATCTACTCTTGTGTAAAAAGTTGCTTCACTCATGTAGGGATACCTGAAACACAACTTCATATGGAAAGTTCCCTTCTAAAATCTGAAAAATCCCTGGATGTTTTATCCTTTCTGAGCCAATTTCTGGAATTTTTTAAACCCTGCCATCCCCTCAGGTGTTGGTCGCTTCAAGTCGCTCCTGACACTATAAAATAAAACAAAAACGCGTTGGTGATGAATGTACACCCATTTCCTTTCTCATCTGTATCTGAGAAAATTATTTTTTAAATTCTTCCAAAGTGTGCAGATCTTGTGTTGTTGAAGGCTTTTAAAGCCAAAATCACTGGGTTGCTGTGAATTTTTTTGGGCTGTAGTGCCATGTTCCAGTAGCAGTCTCTCCTGATGTTTCTCCTACATCTATGCCAGGCATCTTAGAGGTTTGTTCAGAGGACAGACCTGTGAACAACCCTCTGAGGATGCCTACCATAGATGCAGGTGAAACTTCAGGAAAGAATGATCTTGGAACATGACCATACAGCCCAAAAAAACCTCACAGCAACCCTGTGCTATGAGCAGCATACAGCAGTGTGGCATACTTTAGCATGCCATGCCATCTTCAATCCTCTGGAAAATAAATTGTCTGTCTGTATTCTTTGCAGCTTATTGCCTCACGTTTGCTCAGTGATATATTTGTCCAGGATCCAAAGAAACATTCAACATGCTACAATTAATCTTAAACACTCCCWTTGTAATTTAGGAAGTTTCAAAATGAGTTTGCAATAATGTATGAAATCCAGCTGTTCAGAYCAAAACAACAAGAGTAGCCAAACTCTTGGATGTGTCAGAAATACTTCTTTGTATCYTGGCCATTGCATTACACATTTWWWWTAAAAATAAAGTAGTTAGTAGTTGTATGTTTGTTTTATGTGATAGAAGCTAGGTTCTCTCTCTSTGTGTRTATTTATAATACTCTCGAGATGCTGAATTAAAACATTAAAAAAAAACCCAGAAAAACAGCATCAAAATCCAAGCAAAACTTATTCTACACCACACTCCTTTAATAGATCTTYATCCCATTTGCCTGATGTCAGTAGCAGAATAMCRGGGCTTATTGAAGGGAAGGCTYCAGTCCAGGCATGGGMAAACTTTGGCTTTTCAGGTGTTTTAKCCTTYAACTCCCACAATTCCTAACAGCCTACTGGCTGTTAGGAATTGTGGGAGTTGAAGTCCAAAACACCTGAAGGRCCAAAGTTTACCCATTTTGGGTAGTATAAGAATATCAGTGTACACTTTTGATGACTAAGCAATACAGCTGACAGCATGATGGTACCATTTGCATTTATATGAACAACAGTATCCCAAAATACTTTTGCCAATTTATTTGTACTTCCAAGAGTTTATTTTACCATAATTAAGCTGTGAATGTCTTTGTTGATATTAGTAATGTGTATCATTTAATTGCTTGCTCTCCGTGTATGTTAATGCCAAAAATGAAACATGCTGTTTAACAATTGGCCTTTTCTTTTTCTTTTCTTTCTTTTTCTTTTATTTTTATTTTTTTGGCTATGCCAATTCGTAAATTATTGGGTCAGAAAAATATTTTTACTGGGATTTAATAAAGTTCACATATCAACAAAGGTACCTGCTTTTTCTTTTTAAATAATGTGTTATTGTTATTTTTTTAATGGAGGTTTATAATAACGCTGCTATTAATCACTACTTTTGGCAAAAAGTGTCACAAGAATTGCCAGTATTTCAAAAGTTCCTAAGTTTCTTCTTCCAGCCCTATTTTCATATTTCTCCTGAGCTGTGACCAGTGAAATGCAATACGTTGACAACCACTTGGCTTCTATTTAAGGCCCAAGCAATGACTCATCGTGAAAGAGGAAATATTCTTGATGGAATAGACCAAAACAAGCACCTTTGCAGAGCTTGAAAACATTACCATTTGTGTTGGCATTTCAGTGATCTAGCACTTAAAATTCAGATCACTGAACAGATGACAGGCACTACATATAAATGAAGTGATCAAGGACATAGAATTGTTTCTTTTGGAAAGATTACTCCTGACTTTAACATATAAGAAGAAATTAATAAAGGAGCCGTTCTAAACATATAATGCTTAATTTTGCATTTTTAGAGATAATGCTTATGCTTAAGCATAAAAAGTCACAACATTTACAAGACTGGATGATGGAAGATTTATTTTTCTTAATTTCTTTCAAAGGCTTTCCTTTGCCTCTATGTTTGAGCATCTGAAAGATGTAATGGGCTGTATTCTTTGGATTTTAGTAAAGAGTTCTTATTACTCTGATTGCTTTTTGTGGCAATGGTAACCTCCATGCAAACTAAAAGTCAGCATCCAGAGTTCTCCTGGCAGAATGTCAAAACCCAGCGGATTCAGAATTGGGTGTCCCCCTCCGCTATGACACAGCTCCCCTTGCACCCCAACACTAATTCTGTGGGACTGAGAAGCACCAAGCAGTCTTGAGAATGGCACAGAAGGCTGAAGAAGGAATGGGAAGAAGCATCCAAAGCATCTCCCAGTGGACCATTATATTCAGCCTTTACATTTCTCTTCTAAATACAGTGACCCAAATCCTAGACCATTTTAGACTAAATCTATATTTTGTTGGTAGATAGCTGTTCCTCTGAAGCAAGTGTTACCAGTTGAATGTTACATAGATTGGTCAACTTGTGTGCAAATTATCAGTTTTCAAACATTTTAACTTCTTACAAACATGCCAATGCAAAAAGGCTTCCTTATACCTTGCTCTGTTAAAAGGAGCCCCCGGTGGCGCAGTGGGTTAAACCCCTGTGCCAGCAGGACTGAAGACGACAGGTTGCAGGTTCGAATACAGGGAGAGGCGGATGAGCTCCCTCTATCAGCTCCAGCTCCTCATGCGGGGACATGAGAGAAGCCTCCCACAAGGATGACAAAACATCAAATCATCCGGGYGTCCCCTGGGCAACGTCCTTGCAGACGGCCAATTCTCTCACACCAGAAGCGACTTGCAATTTCTCAAGTCGCTCCTGAYAYRACAAAAAAMCMMACAAACCAAAAAACCTTGCTCTGTTAAAGAACAATTATAGGGACAAGATCTGATTCTCCATTATACTGRGCTGTAATTAAATTAAGTGCTCAWTTATATGGTTATGCCCTTTCATTTCAGATTCTTCCCAGTTATGAGGAGAAATCCTATATTCTCAGTTCAAGTGCCCTCACTGTGAAYTGGCTTTGTTTTCTCAGGTTACCAGATATGACTGGTCACATATTGTTGTGGTATCACATAATTCTTGATTTGTTTGCATTGCCCAGGGAAGTAGGATACATATGAGGCAAGAGTGGTGTAAATAGAAGCAGTAGAAAAGGGAAACAACTGCTGTAAATAGCAGCGTCTATGGAAATGAATGAGAAAAAGCTTTTAATTTAATTCCAGCCAACTACCAATTTACAGTAAACTTCGCTTCAGGAAAATGTTTGTTGTCCCCCTCCCCCTTTCCTGTATTTTAATCTCTTAGTACCCAGAGTCGGACACGACTGGACTTAATGTCAGGGGAAAACCGTTGCCTTTACCTTTACTACCTTAGAAATATTTTAAGATCTTCTCATCCATGTTCAGCGTTCTTCTTATGCTCTGTCCCCTTGCCATTTGGAAGTGCTCAGGGGTTTGTGTGTTATAAGAAAAACTTGAGGATGAACCAGGGAATTATTTTTCCAACAGCTGCCATATTACCTTAGAAACATATAATTTTGTCCTGAATTCTAAAATGTAATTGGCTTC